ATGGCACGGTCGGAGTGGCAACCTCATCTGTTCGAACTACAAAACAACAGGTTGTTGCATACATATTTTTGAAACAACGTTGACATCAGCAACCACACAAAATGATAGTGCATGATACAGCTGATATAGAATATCTGTGGCAAGGGCCCTTGTAAGGCCAACATCACCCAGGTTCACCTGCATGGCAGCATTCTGTGAAAACTACAAACACATTCATACAGCCGTTGTTTGTGCCTTCTTGGTACCAGGTGCATGTTGACCTTGTTCATTTTCAGCAGCATAGAATCGCGCACCTGAGATCTTACAGTTAACATGTTTCATGACATATATGAATGAACATTTACTTTACTCATGCATGTGGAAAAAGTACATTGCATTCTAAGAACCCAACCAGGTGCGAATGGTCCCTGTGGTGTCTCATCCACACGCCTCGTCGGTTCACTAAGAAGCTGGGCCTGAAGCCGACGAACACGTTCCATCTTTTCCTGTCCAAAGAAATCGCATGAAACTGGGTGATGATAAGGACAACAAACACACTTGCATGCATACATACATGCCTGGATTTGCATCTCAAGGTCAGCTTCATCAGAGGCTGCGGTATTCATTCTCAGCATACCCGCCCCTAGCTCTAAGGTGTCCCTACTCATAGAAACCAGGCCAGCAGGTCTCACAGCAACCTTGAAGGAAAAACACTATATTTTCCATGCATGTGAAAATGGCTTTCACTTACACACAAGCTGTGGGAGTACATGCATGACAATGTTCAACAATTGCAACATGAACTTTTGTGAATGTTGAAATAGAGCTGACATGAGCCAACTCCATTTTCTTCAAAACACCTGTTCAATTTGAGCACTTTTTTTTTTTGCGCTCGTTTGCACGTTTTTGCGCCCGTTTCGCACTTTTTTGCGCCCGTTTCGCACGGACCTTCGGGTGCAAAAAGTTCACCGCAGCTGAGTCAGTGGTCAGCTGTGAGGTTATTGTAGAGTTCCAACAACTCTCTATCACACGTCGTTTCCTTCAGGAGCTCTTGTCTGAAGGACTGCATTGTTCCAAGCCAACTGTCTGGAATCACCGTGTTTGGGTGATCCATCATGTAACAGAAAACTGTCACCATGTCAGCATCCAACCAGGGATCTTTCATTGGCAGAGACTCAAACAGTTCCTTGTCCGACAACTGAACATTCGCATCGTATTTGGTCCTTACAAACCACACAGCCAATGCATGCAGCAACATAAGTTCATGCAAATTGCACTGCAGCATCTGTCCTCAGTGCGCAGGTGGGTGCATCTACGGTGTTCCAAAGGTCCAACAAACGTTTTCCAAAGCCAGGTGGATAGATCCTTAGCTTAGCTGGAAAAACATCAACACCATTTGCTATGAAATCTGTGTTAGCTGTATGCATGCACAATGACCTCAATATCCCAGGCTCCCAGAGGCTTTCAAATTCTTGTTCCCAGTCCATTTGCCACCTGTCCGGCCTTATTTTCATGAATGAGAATATAAGTATTGAACTATGAAAACATATGCATGAGATCTCAAGCTTCCAGTCTTGCAAGGCTAAGCTCACTACTTGTGGTTTTGTGTTGCGTGCGCTCTCTCATGGTTGCAGCTGCCATAGGTCCAGTGTCTAAACCAGCAACGCCCTTCCAATTGGACCTTGCCTGCTGCCGTTTAGGTGTAGGACCACCATAGGCCATCATCCACCAATTTGCAGAATACACCTGGTTTGATGCATGCACAAGTTTGTTCATGCATGCATGCACTTGCATTCGCATCACCGAAGAACAACATTTAGACAGGACACATATGCAATTCTTTCTTGAAGCCACTGCCATCGAAAATTCTCAAATAAAAACGTTTGACGCGGTTGCTCCACGATAAAAATTGCATGAACGCAAAGGATGAGTAAGCAACAAAGTACTAGCCTTGGCTGATCAGGAGCACCACTGCATATTCAGACCGCCACACACAACCAAAACTTGCATGCGTGATTGAATTGCACCTGAAATGCACATGGGAAACCGGCTTGCGCACATATTGCCATCCAACACGTTTCTGCGTGACAGCAAGCCAATACCATTGTTCAACAAAGATCGCATAGTTGTACCAAGATTTGGCATTCCAAAGCTGCTGCAGTCAGGCCCCAGCAATCCGATGCAGCCAGGTGCTAGCATCAGACACGAGAAGAGGGCCAGCCTTGGGAAAATCTATGATCAACATGCATTTGCCATATCCATGCATGCATGGATACATATCAATACAAACTTGGAACCAGACACAAAACCCTGTGGGGTCAAGAAATCCATTGCACAAGGTTTGCTAGTCTTTTTCCCATACAGCACGTCGTATTGGGCCACATTGAATCCAGCTCTTTTCCTCGGTCCAGATATGTTCAAAAACTTTTTTCAACCCACTGGGATCAACCCATCTCTCATCACACATGAGCACCAGACCATTCTTTGCTCGCATGCCCCCGACCACTGAAGAGCTCCACAAATTGGAACTGTGGAGAAGCCCAGGGCAGCGATGAATTCCAAAGCATAAGGACCACCTGCAAAAACAATTGATTACACACTGCAGTGACAACAACCACAGACATGAACACATCATAGTTGCTTCACCACTCAGGGCCCGACTGTTCCAATTAGCACCTGCAGGTGAAAAAAAACATTAAATGTCCATGTAGCACCATGCCATTGCAACAAAGCCAATACAACACCCAGCCTTAGGTGCGCCGCAATGAATTAGAGATGGGACAACGGAGCCACGTTCCCAGAATGGCATTGCTACACAGCAGGGGAAGGTTTCATGACATATCTAAGCTGATCACACAAACTGCAACTCAAGCACATGAATGCATACATGCATGTCCAAACGAATTCATGAATGAAGCACCATGTCCAAAAAAAATGTGCGCACAATGTGAAAGAAACATACTGAAAGATTCACAGCTGCATGGCTGGAGGGGGGACAAAACCGGCTCCCATGGCATCCACCAGCCAGCTCATCTTTGTGTACCTCCACCACTGCTAAGATAGCAAACTATCACTGATGAATGCATTTGTGAAGATTGTGAAGTGCTTGATTACATGCTGCATGGTGTGCATTTTTTCATCTCCATCAGCGCCCAAAGTATGTTCCAAGAGCCCAGCAACTCAGGAACCAGGACCTCAGAAAACATGTGCAATGCATGCATTCACAAACACAACAATGGCATGGGGCCCCCACTCTTTCTCCGCGGAGCATCGTTCAAATGCGTCCCTGCATGCAAAGTAGGAATGACGCAATTAGGTATAAATATTGAAACTAAACTTCCCTGCCTGATCCTCGTTCTCTGACCGGTGGTCTTTTCGGCGGTGGAGGGGTGGGGGGCCACCACGGCTCTGGGAGCTTGTCCGGACATGGTGGCGGCTTGGGTGGAACTCTCAGGCTGGCTCGTTTGGGTGCACTGGCTGCACTGGCTGCATTGCTCACGCCGCTAGCTTTGCCTATGCTTGCCACTTTGCTGTCTGGTCTTGCTTTGTAAGGTATGTTGGGAAACCTTTGCTTTGGTGGTGCCGCCTTTTGTTTGCTGCTAGGTGGCAAGTAAATCGTCGGCACTGGTGAACGGAGAGCTGCCTCAGCACTAGATTGGGGTTCCGATGCAGCTGCATCATCAACTCCAGCAACCAGCCTGTCAAGTTATGTATGCATGCTTTGGTTTCATACACATGGTTTTCGTGCATGACATGTATGACATGCGTGGACATGCATGGATATGCATGGATGATGGCTGAAACGTCATGCATGCCTGTCTCCCAGTGGCAATTGGAATGTCATCCGGTTGCCATGACCAAGTTCCTGCGCAACCCCCATATGTTTCATCATGCGTGGCCATGCATGGAAAACATACGCTAACAGTCCTGTGCTGGAATTGTCGCTGCAAGGGTGTGCATCACTGATGCCAACTGTGCATCCTGACCATTAGAAAGGTTCAGCAACAGCAACTCTTACCAACAACTTGACAAAGCTGTCCTCTGAGATGGCGTCGATAGACTCCTGAGGTACCTGCATGCTAATACATATCCGTTGAAGGTCAGAATTGTCATTTCACAAGGCACTAGCAAATCCAGGGAACGCACCCCAATACTCCGCAGAACCGCTTCCCAATTTTCAGGATGGTCCTGCATGTTGTTAGAAATGTCAAAGTCACACACACACACATATGCAAGGCACAGCTTATCTGAGTTCATGACAGGGGCCATTTGGAGTGGGACCGCCAGCCGTGCTCGGACATGGGCATCCTGGCGACATCATGACACAGTCTGATTGAAGAAAAAAAGGTTACCCCCCCAACATCCTACCTGATCATGCTCTTCTACAAGAGCTCTCTTGCGTCTGCTCCCTATGGGTATCATGTGCATCCACTTTATGGATGACACTTGGGTTTTAAAATGGCTACAGTCAGATACACTTTCTCAAAATATTCATGCATGTCGAGCTTAACCTACATGATAAAAATATATTATAACAGTATGGCATGTCATCATTTCGAAACAATAATGGGGGCACCACACTCAGTGGGCTAAGGGGCGGCCGCTAGCAGTACCTGAAAAACACAGAGAAGGGCTGAATACCTGTTAATATGTCATCATGTGTGCATGCATGCAGTTCTGAAAGAATTCTTGCACAACCGTGGTTACTCTACCCACCTCCATGCGTGAGCAAAAACATGCATACATTGCAGCTTTCCATGAGTCATTTTCTTGCGAGACAAAGCATAGCAATCCACACATCATATATGTAGGAAGCGACTCCAGCATAAGATTATGTGCATGTTCTCACGCACTGCTGAAACGTCAGGTGCACCCCAAATGGCGCAAGCAGAACATGCATGGTTCTTACCATGCTTACACAAACCCAAGGCAACCCAGTGGGAAGTCCAACTGAATTGCATCCCCTATATATGGCTCCAGCCAGCTTCAACCACGCATCACGCCAGGATCCGGGCCATAGCCTACAGCTCAAGCTCATTGAACATACTAATACATATGAATGTTCTCATGCATGTATGCGTGGATGCTGCATTTTTTGTCATCATGCATGCATACCAAGAAACCTCCCGCGCTTTTGCAATGGCTTGCTCTTCACTCACTCCCATCTTCAGCTGAGCCCGTTTGGTGTTGTGGTATGCGCTTGCCTTCCTTGATTTCAACTGCTTCTGTTCAGGGGTCAAGGTGCGTCTGTTCATCGCTTTTGCCTTAGCTTTCGCCTTGGCCTTTGGTTCAGGTCTGCTACTACTACTGGGTTCACCAGTGGCAGGTGTGCCGGGTTCATCAGTGGCAGGTGTGCTGGGTTCATCAGTGGGAGGTGTGCTGCTAGCTGCTGCCTTTGCCTTCGCTTTGGCCTTTGCCTTCGGTTCACTTTTTGCTTTCGCTTTGGGGGCCGATTTGGCCTTCGGGGCCGATTTGGCCTTCGCGGCCGATTTGGCCTTCGGGGCCGATTTGGCCTTGCCCTTTGCCTTTGCCTTTGGTGCTCGTTCAGTTTCGTCCAACTTGTTTTTCGGTTTCCTTCCCCTACGCTTGCTTTCTGGTGGCCCCAAGAGTGCACCAGCTGCAACCCAATGTTCACAGTCAGGTGGAGGGCCAGGAACCTTGGATTAACACAACATGTCCATACACATGTTGCAAACCAAAACAAAAGCACATAAGACCATGCATGCATGCCTCAATGCAAGAAACATGAATCTGCAACTCAGCGCAATCACCAGCACATTCTTGGGGGTGGTCAACCTTCTGTTCATCAAATTCATGGCCTTCATCATCTGAGTCATCGTGAACTGTTGCAGAAACACCGTCACTTTCCACATCATCACACATGTTGGTTCCAGTGCCAGCTGGCAGGGTAAATCCATTCTTCTCATCAACTTCCATCAAGCAAAGGTTAAGGGCAGCCAAACGTTCTTGTGCCAAACGATCATCACGTTTCTGTTCTTCTTCAGCAACTTTGGCCCAATACCGTGAACAAGAATCAGGCTCTGGTGTGGGGAATGACTCAGTGGGACTGCTATCAATCCAAACTGCTTCTTTCAACTTTGGCGAAGCTGGGTCCTCACCAGAGAAACCCGGCACCTCCGGCAAGAACTCCATTGGCAAGGTGTCCAAGTTGTCCGGGCCTGATGTACATGGCAATGCATGGCTACTATCATGGGGATGCTTACACAACATGCACATGCATGATGAGTGCCGGACAAACTGCAGGTGGAGCCGGTTTTGGGTGGTAGGCTTCGATTCTAACAGCTTTCATTGTCGCCTCAACCTTCCTCTTCTTGAGGAGAAGCAACTCCATCTCTTCAAGTTCAAGCTCAAGCTCCATGAGTAATCTACCTTGATTGGCAACTAAAACACAAATATAGATATACGCATTGCCATATCAAAACATATCACCATATATGTCTTTATAGATTGTCAAGATGCGCTTAGCTGCCATAGCACTTGGGGGCGTAGAGTCCCTTGCAGTACCCGCTCCTGCCAAATGGACAACCCACACAATCACCCACCTACCCTCAAACACGCACACTTAAAAATTAAAATAGATTGCATGCATGATATCTGTCCTTCAGGCATTTCACCTCGACTCTCCCCAGGGGTACCTCAAGACAACTTTTCATTGTTTTTTTTTCAGCAATTAAGCAAAACATTTAAACCCACATGATATGCATGCAAGGTACATCCCTTAGATGGAGTGGCTTGCATGCGCACAACTGCAGCAGTCAAGTCTGGCTGCAGCCCCCCTTTCGAAGAGCTACTGTCCTTTGACTGACTTTGTTCCATGTCCTTGGCCGTATCTGACACTGCAGCAGCAGGGGGAGCTGCATGCTCCACCCCAAGAGCAGCCTTTTGCAAATCTGGCCCTCCAGCACCAGATGAAGACTTGGTGGATGCCAGGGTTTCATCTTCCTTGGGAAAAAAAAATAAATGCACGTGGATCACCAATAGACATAGAGGACACACTCATGCATGCAATCAAGAATCAGTGTCGCTTCCACTAGAATCAGTTTCTTCAGATTCTGACTCCGAACCATCATCTCCTGTGGCACGAACTATGGCAAACATTTGCAAAGCAAAAAACGGAAACATGAACCTGGAATGGGTAAGTTGGCAATGGTGTAGATGTTTCTGATTTCAGCGCATCGCGGACGATGGGGTCGCCTGAGTCATCCTAAATAATGCAGGCTACATACAACACATGCTCAATGCATGTGCAGTGATTAGTGATGCATGCAGGTCTCAAAAATTAAGCAAAGAACTTAGCCACACGTGAGAACGCGTACACCAATCTCATCGCAATTTTCGCATGCAGTTTTGCCCTAATACCTTAATGCAAATGACAACATCATGCATGTGAAGAAACATATTGTCTCCATGTGGGAAAACATTGATAAACAAACATGCATGTCAAAAGAAACCATGCATGCATGACTAACAGTGTCACAGATGCTGCAGAAATCTTGGCCTCTTGGAAGGGCTAAAGAGAAAAATTGGTGCGCTGCCTGTTCAAACATAGCAAGCGATGGTCTGAGCCCGCAGTGTTTGATCGCCAGCCCGATCACAGCCGAGTTCCGCTTCAAGTCACCTGGACGAACAGCAAATGCAAAAAAAACAACGCAAGTATTCTTTTCAAACAGAAATAGTCAACCCAACAACTAGACAACCACTGGGTATCCTACTCCGTTTGATCTTGTTGTTCTTGGAAACCTGGACGATGGAATGCTGCAGGGCTCTTTCCTTGACTCCATCCGTGTTGGCCCATGCGGTAGCCAAAAGTGATGCCTGCTCAAAATGAGCCATATCACAACACAAGTCTGAGCCAAATATCCCCTAGCCACATGCATGATGTTGATGATGCATGCATGCATGCAAGCATGCATGTATGCATGCATGTTTCATGAATGTGATGCAAACAAGTTTTGCAACGCTAGTGTCAACAGAAAAACACAATGCATGATCATGCATGTTATGAATGTCATGCATGCGCAAACATAGCAGAAAGAACACAACAAAAAAAACGGGGCACTCGAAAATACCCAGATGTGAGCCGACCTTTGCATGCATGAAACACACCACGAATGCAACTGCCTTTCGAAAAAAAAATTGTAGCAACCCAGCTCGTAGAGCATCTGGCGTGACAACTCCCCACTTCAATCCTGCCAAATCCATGCCACACATTTGACTGAAACATCACCGGGGCAATAAGATAAAACAAATTGCAATCATCACCACTCCTGAGTCAGCCATACCGGTCATGGCATTGGGTGATACACTTTGAGCAAAATGCTCTTGGTGCGGCAGCGCTATGATTTTTCAAAAAAACATGCTAAAACATAGCACTATGTACATGTTGGATCATGTTGGTACCTAACCAGTACTTTTGATCAAAACATGATCAACCAGATCCCCAAAAAAAAACTTGCTCGATTTAGTCTTGTTCTAAAGAATATGCTCGTTTATAATTTTTATGTATCAAAAAATGGTTTGAACAAGTTTTTCTGTACCAAAGGGTGGTCCAGGTATAATTATATATTATATAATATATATTATATATATTTTATATATATTATTTATATATATATATTCATATATGTCATACATTTCATTACAAGTGATCACAGGTGTTCCGCGCAGATTCGCCAGGAGAAAGAGCGTCGGAATGAATTGGAGAGCAAGGTCACCTCAAAGGTCGCTCGGGTAGGATGTTGGGGCCAACAGCAGCTGTTTTTTAGGAGTTTCGGCGGTTTCTTTTTAGGAAAACAATGGAAAACACATGAAAAAGCTGGGGAGTTTCAACAGAGGACCCCCCCAGATTTGATCGTTTATCAGCATTTTCCCTGTTGAAAAATTGCCATTTTGATTCTAATATATACAAAAAACAAAATATATGTTGCGAACATGCTGTGCCCACATCTACATCCTCAAAAGCACCCAAGACCTGTTGTTGGAGTGAGGGTTCAGTTTCCACCCTGGAACCATCTCTTCGACCCATATTATCTCTTCCATTTTCAAGAATTCAGCACCATCCGTTTCCAGATCAAATTTATCATATATATATATTGGTTATTATCATTATTATTATTTTTGTTTATTATTATTTATTATTTATCATTATTAATATATTAATTTATACATATTATATCCCAAAAGTCATACCACAGAACATTTCACAAAAATGACGCAAATCTCGCAGGACTTCGAAGTTCAGCACCTTCTGCAGCAGCTGCACTTGGCCAACAGCGACATCGAAGCGCTTCAGCACAGCGTGGCGGAGCTGAAGAACGAGGACCAGCTGCGGAGCCAACAGCGGCTACGGCGAAACGCTGAAAGAAATGTGGGTTGATTTGGGAATATATATATATATCATATGATATCATGGTATATATACACTCAGCAATTGCTAGTAATTAAGTTTAATAGTGGTACTAGCATATATGTATATATTATACTATTTTATACTTAAACAGATAATATGATACTCGTATGATGATATGATAGGAAAAACCAACTTCAAGGAAGATTGTACAGTATAGCGAGCTGGACGGCGATTAAAAAAGTAATTAGGATATCATAGGAAAATGAATTCCCGGATGATTTGACTTTTTCCGAGAATACAAGGACAGACATACTAGAACTTTTAGGGGAATGACGCTATCTTCAGACAAACCCAAATGCCTGGGGGATGGGGAAAAAGGATGCAAAAAAAAAAGATGGGGATGGACATGATATTGAAATGATGGAATGATGGACATTGTACTGATGCCTTGTCTCCACCTCGTTTTTCGGCTTGCGATTGACTGCTTTAACGTGCGAACGGGCGCATCCCAAGCCTTACCCAAGGTACGAACGAAAACTCTTGCAGTACAAGAGCAGGGTAGAAGCTGAACTTCAAGAAGCGAGTGGCCGCGAATCGGAGCTGGAGATCAAATTGAAAGCAAAAAACCAGGACCGTAGCATGGCCGAAGCCAGAGATCAGATATCGATCCTCCGCTACGGTCGCTACGTGGCCACAGGAATGCGATCGCCTTGGTCAAGAGTCCTTGAAGACCAAAGATCTACAAGAGAAGGTCCTTGCCCTCCAGGTGGGTAATGTTGACCTTGGATGGGTTCATAGCAACAAAATCTAACCGATTTACTTGTTAATCACTGGGATACATACGAACCAAGTTCTTGTTGGGGGGCACGGTGTCCCGGTTTGGCCTTTGAAAATGTTTTCTTTGAGAAAGTCTGGAATTATTTTGGATAAGAATCTTCTAGACCATTCCCCTTGCAGATGATTTTCATGGTTGGCTCTCGGGGTTAGGGGCACATCACACAGCACTCGCGGAATCGGTGAGGCCAAACTTGAAGAGAGCCAGCGACAGCGCAGCACTGCAGCCGTCGCTGATTTGGAAGCGGTCACTTGCCAGAAATCGCGGCCAATGGTCTCTAGGGATCTCTAGGGATCTCTAGGGACTATAGATATCTGTAGATATCTGTAGATATCTGTAGATCAATGTTGTGTCCTATATTATCTTATATTTGTATATATTTGTTTGCAGCATGTTGTAGCAGTGAAATCTGAGGTCAACTCCTGTTGAACCATGTTGAGACCATGACCCCCGAGGCAGAGCGCCGTGCGGCTGAATTGGAGAGGCGGATTGCTTCGACGCAAGAGGAGCCCCTGGTCTTGCGATTGACAAGGGACAACAAGGGGAATGACAAGGAGGATGAGGAGGATTTCAATACTCACGACATCTATGTCGATACTTCGTGTCTATTATATACCATTGAGATCAAGATCATGTAAATCCTTCGATTCCATCTACGGTTTTGGAGAACAATCCAGCCGAGGCACGAGCATCAGCTGACACTGCAGCGTACCACAAAGGCGCGCTTGGAAGCAGCCACGGCGAAAGCGCAGGAGCCTTGACACCGGTAGCTACTTGGGCAGTGGGGGGCAGAAAAAGATATGGGTATAACATGGTAAAATTTCATGGTAATAAAGGGTTTATCATATGGAGGTTTCCTAACATTGGGGACCCCAAAATCATCCAAGTTAATCCAAGTTATTGGTTATCATTATAATCAATCGGAAAAGCGATGGTTTGATGTACCCATATCTTAGGAACCCATCATATTTTGAGATGCTGCGGTGATTATCTTGCTTTAGACCAGAAGAAAGGGACATGCATAATGATTCTCTAGGGAATCATCCCATGTTTCCATCATTTTTGGGGTGTATGTAGTTGGGATATGGGGCCATTATACTGCATCCAAGTAGGCCTGCAGGCAGGTTTCAAGCCGCTGATTTTCGGAGGGTGTGATCCATATTTCCTCAACTATGCCTACTGACCTACTGCCATGAAGGGCTCAATTTGTTAGAATCAATGGTTCCAATACGGTGGGATTGTCTCAAAATGGGATATGCCCTAAACTAGCCATTTCGATTGGGATCATGATGATCCTGATGAAAATGATATAAAATGATGAAGTTGTTTTGAACAAAGCACGATTTGAAGGCGATTTGCAATACCCCAGGACTTTGAACTTCAATGCCAGACTTTGACGCTGAAACTCGAGAAGCTTCAGGCCGGTGGTCATGGAGTCATGGCATGGTACTCGTATGGCACACTGGACGTATCTGGACGTTGGAGGGACCTTGGAAGCTTATGATGAGTGCCCTATGACCTTGGAAGCTTATGACGTTTTTGCACTTTACATCATAGTCATCAATAGATATCAATAGTTCAATCATCTTGGCATCATTTGCAATTTTTGGACAAAATCCTGGATATGAGCTGGTATGAGTTGGTATCATTTCATAAATTTCACCAACTGAGTGGATATGTTTTACCATTTGTTTACCTATCATACCCTCTGGTAATTTAACATAGCTATGGAAAATCACCATTTTTAATGGGTAAATCCGCTATAAATAGCCATTTTCAATAGCTATGTTAAACTACCAGAGGGTAACTAAGTTGTCGTTGTTTCACGGTTGGCCACTGATTTCTGGGCTGATCATGGCAGGCCAGGTCCGAGGAGAACGACCTGAAGTTCGATCGACAATTGGCCCTGCACCGCGAGGCCGAGGGCCGAGGGTTTTTTGTTGGACGGGGCCGGCCACGAATCCCACGGTGGAATGATGAAACCTGATGAAACCTGATGAAACCTGATGAAACTCGTGAAAAAATGGTAGGTTTTCATAGGTTTTCCACATCAATCTGAGTTTACAGGATTTCCCTTAGAAAAACATTGTGAGCAATGGTCAAAGTCCCTGGTGGTTGATGATACTAAGGGTGTTATCCTATCCAATTATCCAATATATTGATATTATATATATATATTATATTTATATTATATTATATAGGGGAAATTCAAACCTACACTCTAAGGATTCATGTTTTTGATGGAGTAATTATGTTCCGTAAATTGTTGATATTCTTTGACCATTTTTTCTGACCCATCCCCGATGAGTGTATCATCTATGATTATCATAAGCCGGCTGGCGCGTAGCGGTTGTCCGCAGGAAGTCTGTAGCGCCTTTTCGCGAGTTCAAGAGTTAGAGCGGCAGATTAATCGCCGGAAAGTCGAGGAGGAACGATGCTGTGATGCACCACAGCGTTGCGGTCACAGCAATCAGTTTATCCGATAAGCGCACTGGATGAAACTAACTAATCTAACTAGCATGTCAAAGAACTTTTCGTGTCATCTGTGGTATTCCGTGGTGGTTTGGGGACCTGAGTCATCCTGAGTCAAATGTGTACCACCCAGGTTCTTACATGCCGTTATTAGCTGCATTTTTTGGTCACCCGTCTGACATCCAACACATTCCAATCGCCTAAGGATTGGAGCAGGACTTGGGCACCAAAACACGTCCTGCCAGCTGTGTTGGGGGGCCAGGTGGCCGTGGATGCGGTGCGGTGCACGACCCTGGCGCCAGGTGAAGTGGAAGACTTACAGGTGGAGCTCCTGAAGGGTCAGGCCGGGTGCGATGTTCATCATGTGTTCATCTATCTCAAGCACCAAATTCGCCAGGAGCAGGAAAGGAAATGCAGTGAACTTGCGATGGAATGTGAAGACTTGAAGGCTGGTGGTTGGTGGTGCTGGTGGTTGGTGGTCGTGAGGTCGTGGTGGTCTGGTGGTCATGGTGGTCGGTTTATTTGTGATGTTTGGCACTTTTCTTGTCCAGATGAAATTGGCGTTGTGGCAGGGACAAATCCTGACATCAAAGCAGGCGAGTGGAGCTGCACAGGGGTAGCCAGTGTGGTTGATTGATGTGTATCAGCAGGTGCTCAAAAAGCAGAGAGAACAATAGAATACAATAGAGAACATGCGATGCTTCTGACATCTTCGCAAGTCCTCCAAACCCGAGGAACTTGAGAAGGAGAAGACACTTTCCAGTGATCTTGAAAAGAAGCGCGAAGAATTGCAGGCTCCGGCGCGCAAGCAACAAACCCCAACTGATCCAAGGTATGGTTGATACCAACCCCAAGTGATCCAAGTGGTAAAAGGTGGGTGTCGCAGAGTGGGAGGCTCAGCTTGAAGCATCCAAGCAAACCTTCGAGGAACAGCTCCAAAGCTCAAAGCAGGTTCGCCCTGGTGAGCATCGGGGGTCCGGAAGCAGTTTGATGATTGTCCCACCTTTTTGGAGGGGGCCCATAGGTATCCATTGTGTTTGCCCCCCTCTGCTGTCAATGCTGAACCTGAGGAGTTTGACAGCGAACGTGAGCACCTGGAGGCCCAGCTTCAAGCATCTAAGCAGGCGTCAGAGGAGCTTGGGGGACCAGATCCAAACAAGTTTGTTGGTTGTTGGAGTGGTTGTGGTTCTTGTTGTTATTGTTGTTCTTGCTGTTGCTGTTGTTGGTGGTGGTGGTGGCAGTGGTTTTGATTTGGGCGATGCATTGTCACTTTTTCCAAACTCGGGGAAGGAGCTGGAGCAAGAGAGTACTCGCTTCAGCGAACTGGATACTCGATGTGAGCAGTTGGAGGCCGCGAAGTTCCTTTCGCATGATTCCTGCTGGGAATTCTGCACTTAAAAGGCGGCTGCTCACCATGAATCGGGGAATAACAGATCCAAGTATATCCAAGTCCAAATTGGGCGATACTTACAAGATCTTACAAGAGTCATCGAATTCAGAACATCAAAGTCTACAGTGGAATGCTAAAGTCGTGCCTAAAATTTGGAAATCATCGTAAATAGCTGGGGAGCACTTGATTTGGAAAAGTCGTGCCTTTTTTAGTAAAACGCATAGGAATTGCATGGAATTGCAATGTATTGTTGGATTTGGTCTTTGGAATAGTTTTTGTTAATAAATCTTGCGTTTAGGTTGTGTTTAGCATCAAGGGTACCTTTTCCATATTGTTAATAAATCTTGCGTTTAGGTTGTGTTTAGCATCAAGAGTACCTGTTCCATATTGTTAATAAATCTTGCGTTTAGGTTGTGTTTAGCATCAAGAGTACCTTTTCCATATTGTTAATAAATCTTGCGTTTAGCTTGTGTTTAGCATCAAGAGTACCTTTTCCATATTGTTAATAAATCTTGCGTTTAGGTTGTGTTTAGCATCAAGAGTAACCTTTTCCATACCAAGTCAAACTGGATGTGAGTCTAGCGATGAGTTGGTGTTTCTATCTTTTTCTTTCCAGTGTGCTGCGGCAGCCATTTTCACTTTTCACTGCGTGCTCAACGCGGCATTGTGGCACTTCAGCGTGTTGCTTGAGATGGAGGTGAGAAGGGTCATTGTTGTGTCTTCGTGTCGGTTTTAGTTTCTTATGTGGTTCCGCAGGCGGGTGGGCAGAGAGCCTTTCTTGTTATTTTTTGACGTCGTTTGCTACGTTGTTAGACGTCGTTCGGCACGTCGTGGTTTCAAAAATAGGAAACCTATAGGAGAGGTTGGTTGTTGTGAATCACGGATGGCAGAGCGAAGCCACTGATGGACCGAGAGCAGCAAAGCGAAAAAAGTCAGCGGACCGAAGCGGCAAGTATTTCTCAACCCCAGAAACATGAACGGTAGAATGCAACTGTAGACGGATTTTTGCGAACATTTGATTTTCCCAAGTGTGGAAACATTCTTCTTATACATACGCGATTCCATGGTGTTTTAAGATTTGGGATGATTTGGGCATGACTTAGGCATGAGTTTCTTGAAACAGCGATTCCCTGGTGATTTACTAGCAAGTTTTGACCCAGGCATGAGTTAGGCATGAGTTAGGCATGAGTTTGTCGTTTGACTGTAGCCTGCGCCCAGAAAAGCTGCAACAGCTTGGTACAGCTAGAACATGCTCAAAATATCCCAGAATCTTGGCCTTGAAGGCTCAACTTCAAGCTTCCAAGCAAGCAATGGAGGTTGGACGTTCCATTTTGGGAACCTTTTTCGAGCTTTTTCTGATAAAAATGCAATGGCTTTTCCATGTGTTGTATTATCCATTTTCATCCATTTTCCGTCTCAGCCAGACATTGCTGTACCATCACCTGCCAGTGTTCCACCGTGAGGACTTGGAGAAGGAGAAGGGCCGCTGTCTTGAGCTTGAGGTCCAACACTTGCAGAGTTGCTGAGCTGATTCCCCGTCGTGATTCCTAAGGTAGCCCAAAGATGATATTATAATATATTATAGATGAAAAATTATGATAAATGGTAATAAAATTGGTAATAAATGATAATAGTGAGATTTGGGGTTTAAGTGTGTAACCGTGGCTGTAAGGGTGGATCTTGATCAACTGATCTTGACTTCATCCTCTGCCACCACTTCGCAGCGCCTCACCATGAGAAAGTCTTTTCCCAAGCGCTGGTCAGGCGCAGCTACAGAACTCAGAGCAGGCACGACCCTAAGCCTTCACACACCCTTGACATTGCCATTGGTTAGGATGGTCTTTGACTGTTGAGAGATGATCTGCACATGGTGCTGGGAGAGATTGGGAGAGGGTTTTCCAATGGAAATCTTGGCAGGAACTGGTGGAAGAGAGGACGAGGTCCATTGAGCTGGACAGAAGGTGTGGAGAATTGGAGGCCCAGGGAACTCAGCGAGTTGAATCCTTTCAACCACAAACGATGATCCAACAGAATCAACGCTAATAGAATTCAATAGCATCCAATCATATCCAATCATAATAGTAGTAATATGTTATTATTACAATATGTTATCATCATGATGACAAGAGTAATGATAGCTTGTTGTCCTTTTGTTGCCTCGCCACAACAGGCCCAGCTGCTGTCATCAAAACAGGCCTTCGAGGCCATTGCAGCCACAGATGGCACCAACATGCAATGCCGATGCCATGCGACGCCAGCCAGGAACAGACAGATGCCATGGAAGAAGCCCGCGCCCATGTGGAAGGCCTTAGCAAATCGTTGAAGGCCGGAGCATGTTCGAAAAATCCGAAGTTCGAAGGGTGACTCGTTGCAGTGTTGTTGATGGTGTCAAGATTGGCACAGCTCGGTGGAGCCAGGAAAGCAGAGAAAAATGTGACGGGCTTTGGCCACTCGGCAGACACTGAAAGGCACGAGAGGCACCGGAGCCAGTGATCGCCACTCGCCTCAGGTTGAGGAAGGAAGACTTGGAGCTGAAGCTGAGCGATGTGCAGAACTCTGCTGCTGAGCAAATCACTTTCTTCCAGGAGTGAAACATGCTAAGCGAGCAGCAACTGAAGTGTGGATATAAACAGCATGGACACACACACACACACTATACACACACACATATATATAATGTCAACCCTGGATTGATAAACCCCTAGATTGTTTAATTGTGAGGGTACCATTTAAGTATCAGAATATTAGTATTGGAGGAGTACCACCCTAATTAATAAACCATGGTTTGTTAATCCGGGGTTGACATTATATATGTAGATTTGCACACATAGACACACACATCTACATCTACATACGCACGTATGCATATGTGATCATTGTGATCATATGTGTATATCTAGAGGTACAGCTGAGCTGGGTCCAGCTCAGGAGCAGCTGAGGGCCTCCAAAGATGCGGCCCAAGCACGGGACGAGAGCTTCAGGGAGAAGTTGGCCGATCTCAGTGAAGCCAAACGCCAGGTGGGACATGGGATGCTGTTAAAAAAACATGGCTGGGCAAATCTGGGGATAAAAACGCCAGTGTCCTGTAAGTGTTTCCCTACATAATCCATTGACATGGATAATGGGAGATGGCTAAGAATGCTAAGAGTGTGTCTTGGATGTTACACAAATAGATCCTTCGCATGAAGCCAACAGAAACCTGGGCAACTTGAGAAGTACATGAGCATCTCAGTGGTTTTGCAAAACAGCACTAGTCCGTAGAAACCCATGGAGATGCCCCTGTCACCCCGTGGCCAGGTAGCAGAACTGCAGCAGATGATCAAAGAACGAGATGCAGAGATCGAAAACTACGAGGAGATCTTGAAGCAACCGACCATGGACCTGCAGGCTGGGTGCTAGTTGATTTAGGCGTATTTTCTTGACATACAGATATAGTATCTGATAGTATACATTAGTATGCACCATAGTATTCATACATCAAATAAATGCACATAACAGATATTAACAGATTCTAATTATTATAGTTGTATAAAATAATGCGCGCAGACCCCGAGGTTTGCCCAAGCCCAGAATAGCGTAAATAGCAGGGAATTCTGTACGACGTCAAGCAACGGGAAGGGTTACGTTCAATTCTGTTGCTAGGGTGTTAACCAGAACAAGTTGCCTCTACATATCATATAACCAGAACATGTCGCTTCTACATATCATATGGAATGAACCGTACAGTCATTAGTGTTTCTCAAAGGGTTTCAAGAAGATATCAAAATTAAAATAATCATCGTCATCATCATCATCATCCTCCTCCTCCTCGTCGTCATCATCATCATCATCATCCACCATCGTCATCGTCATCGTCATCACCATCCATCACCATTGTCATCGTCATCGTCATCATCGTCATCGTCATCGTCGTCATCATCATCATCATCATCATCTTCCATCGTCATCGTCATCGTCATCACCATCCATCACCATCGTCATCGTCATCATCGTCATCATCATCATCATCACCATCATCCATCCATCACCATCGTTATCGTAATCACCATCCATCACCATCGTCATCGTCATCATCGTCATCAACCATCACCATCGTCATCGTCATCATCCATCACCATCGTCATCTTCATCACCATTCATCACCATCGTCATCGTCATCATCATCATCATCATCATCATCATCATCATCCATCACCATCGTCATCGTCATCACCATCCATCACCATCGTCATCGTCATCATCGTCATCATCCATCACCATCGTCATCGTCATCACCATCCATCACCATCGTCATCGTCATCACCATCCATCACCATCGTCATCGTCATCATCGTCATCATCCATCACCATCGTCATCGTTATCGTCACCTTGACTTGCCCGGACGCTTGTTGCGAGTCCGTTTCAGGCACCGAGCGATCCATTGGAGGCCGATCTTTGTTTCAGATCCCCTGGGACTGTGGGAATCAATAGATGATATAGATGGAAAATATGATGTTTATGGAATATGTTATGGAATATGTTTAATGTGACATTGATGTTTATCTATCTTTTACACATCATGAATTCATGTTCTTTCATATTGTAGTTGCATTGAACGCATCGACCGATCGTCGCCGTTCAGGGCCTTCAACTGGAGCCGGTCCGACCAAAGGCCTGCAAAAGGGGCTGAAAATTGTACCCTCAGTCAGGTAATCAAACATGGCTTGGAAAATCACCATTCTTAAGGCAATTATAGGGAACATCTATATATATTGATTTAAGGCAATTATAGGGAAAACTTATATTGATTTTCGAATGAAAACGTCCATTTATAGGAAATTTCCAATTGTCATTTTTGACCACCGGAGGGCAGAATCTTTTTTAGAGTGCACATTCAAAATGATTGTTTTTTTTGGGGGATCAAGAACATCATCCATGATGATCCATAACAATTTATACGCACATTTATATATATATAAATATCCATACCTACATATGTTTATTCGCAATTAGTGTGTTGTGAACAATGTAGGGGGCGTCATAAAAATCAAGCATCAGTGATATCGAACTGATTACTGCATATATATCTGCATGTGATTTTTTGTTTGTTTTTTCCTCCGGTTTGATGACACCTGGAACATGGATATCCAGGTAACACTTCACTTGGACGTTGCCAAAACCACCTTGAGCCCAACCGGCAACAGCCCGGGCAGTCCGTGCGCGCCTGGGGGATTGATGTATCTCGCCGAACATGGCCATGTCATTTAAGTTGTCATGCGGTATCCCCAATTCATCCCAATTCCAATGGGTTATCATCATTTTCCCATATTTTCCTATTAAGATGGCTATTTGTGGGCAAACATGGGCAAACATGGGCAAACCCATATTGGTGGTTTATGATTGCTTGACTAGCGTTATAATATCCACCATTCCTGAAACGAACCCAGCTGTCTTGATCATGATAGCTAGTTCTACGGCACATGCCGAATCCCATCTGAGCCACGTTTTTTCCCAGATGATGGAATTTAGATTCAGGAGGAACTCATATCATTTATGCGATTCTGCTCGGTGCGCAGGTCCTGCGTAGGCATATGGCGTAGGATAACTTAGGAGAGGCTGCGTATATAGGCAGTCTCGCGCAGGCGCTTGTTTAGATGTTCTAGATTATTTGTTTCTGACCTCGGAATCTTGTTTTTCTTGGTGGGTTGCAATGATTTTGCATGCAAAATGGATTGTATGTATGATTCATGCGTATGTTTAGCTGGAAGAAAGGGGAGATTAAAGAAACAACTGCTTTTTCAGAAAATGTCAGTGCCAAGTTTTCAGAAAATCCTTCTCGGAATAAAATCCTGTTCGGTTCGGCAGTAGGAAACGCGTAGGCCCTAGGTCAAATTGTGGCCCATAGCCCATCCAAAGCTTTTCCAAGGTCAATACCTGACTATTTTCCATTGTTCCCGAGGCTCAATTTCTTAATTACTGTTTCACAATTTCATTTTTGTATGAGTTCATCAGATGATCACATCATGACAAAGTGCTCCACGCTTGATGAAGCTTCCGCCTTCCTTTCACAAGTCACCCAAAGAATCGTTATCTTCCAATTCTTATTGTTCCCCTTCTGAACCAGAATCGTGACCACATCGTGTCAAGTTAAAAGATTGTTGCAGCAACTTTCGCGGATGCAACCGTGTAGGCAGTTCTTGAAAGGTAACCCTCGCGTAGGCAGTTTCGCATGGGAGGAGTGGTTTGCGTAGGCCCCACGTAGGTATCCCAATTTGTGTATTGCAGTTTAGCAAGGAAAAGACAGTATAATAAATGATAATAAATGTACATATATCTTCGATAGATAGGCCACTACTAATCGCTCTAATATAGCAATAGATTAAATCATCTTCAAGCAGAACCACAATCTATAATCATCAGCCAATACTACTATATCATACTAGCTAGATTCGATGATGGTGTATTATAGATGACAATAATTTAATATCACTATAATATACTATAATTATTTGATGATACAGTTAGTTATCATGATATCATCAAACAATCATCTTTTATGATGATACAATACCATTATGTTATAATGATATTTGATGCTGTGTTATGATATATGTATATATATATTATATATCATTATACAACATCATTAGATAAATATGGTGATGCTGTTGGGTTTCCATTCTTCTCGCCCTCACGGGGGCGACAAGTTGAGGCGATCCAAAGGGCTCCACCAAGGAGTGTCCCTCGGTGGCGCTTGGAGCTCCATATTTGAATACGCGTACGCATATACATTTGCAATCATATGCATAATGATGCAACTATGCATATATATATATATGTAATGCAATGTAATGTAATGTAATGTAATGCAATGCAATGTAATGTAATGTAATGTAATGAAATGCAATGCAATGTAATGTAATGTAATGCAATGCAATGCAATGCAATGCGATGCAATGTAATGTAATGTAATGTAATGCAATGCAATGCAATGCAATGTAATGTAATGTAATGTAGTGTAATGCAATGTAATGTAATGCAATGTAATGCAATGCAATGCAATGTAATGTAATGCAATGTAATGTAGTGTAATGTAATGTAATGTAATGCAATGTAATGCAATGCAATGCAATGCAATGTAATGCAATGTAATGCAATGTAATGTAATGTAATGTGATGTAATGTGATGTAATGCAATGTAATGCAATGTAATGTAATGTAATGCAATGTGATATAATGTAATGTAATGTAATGCAATGTAATGTAATGTAATGTAGTGTAATGCAATGTAATGCAATGTAATGTAATGCAATGTGATGTAATGTAATGCAATGTAATGCAATGTAATGTAATGTAATGTACATAATGTAATGTAATGTACATAATGTAATGTAATGTAATGTAATGTAATGTATATAATGTAATGTATGTGTGTATGTATGTATGTATGTATGTATGTAATGTATGTATGTATGTATGTATGTATGTATGTATGTATGTATGTATGTATGTATGTATGCCCTTAATGCTATGGAATGGTATTAATAAACCCTAATTTACCAACCAGGAGATACCAGGAGTTGTTAATGCGAGGTTGTTAATGCCGAATATCTGTGGTGAATGGGGAGCCGCAAACGGAGATGAATCGCGACTGCTAACCCTGAAAAACTGCATGATACACATGTGGTAGCATACGTATATATATAAGATTATATAAGTATATGTGTATATATATATATACATATGTATGTGTCTGTATGTATATATATATATATATGTGTGTGTAAATATGTATCTATATATATATTATATATATATTTATTTAGATATGTATATATATTTATGTATAGACATATGTATGCAGAGTAACTACCATTTTACATCACTCTCAAGTAAGTCAAGTTGCAGATTGACTTACCCGGTTAACATGGAACCAACTTGTCCCAGTTGGGGGACTCCGGCGCCAAGGAGCGTGCAGCACATTTGCGGATCCTTCGTCGAGGTGGGACCGGAACACCAAGGGGTGCTGGCAATGGAAAGGTTACGGATTTATACATGATTTTCCTATGAAAACGTCCATTCATAAGGGATTCCAGTGAAACTATGTGAAACTCTGGTAGTCAAACATGGCCATGCAAGAAACCTCCATTTATAGGGGATTATTGCGTCTTAAGTATTGCAGTTGCTTAAGATTGCGGAAGATTGTTCAAGCATCAAGACATATAAACATGTCATCAACCACACGAATCAATCACAGATGATAAATGTGGTAAACCCAAAAATCAACCGTCCCAGAAATCACCATAAATGGATATAAATGGGTTGTATAAACATTCCCCAAATGATAGGTTTATTATTGGGTTTCCTACATCAAACCACACGTTGGCCAAATTTGGGTTCCTACGCCCAGGACGTCGAGGCAGCAGGTTCTAGCCCAGCCTCGCCCATCTACGAAGCTCGGATTGGAGGGGTTTCTCCGTTAAGAACAAACGAGAAAAAATGGCAATTCAACCACCATCCCTAAACTCCTGGCCCTACTAAACTATCCTTTGGATTCCTTTGGATCCCTTTGGTAATCAGTTCTATTTATAGTTCTATTCAGTTTTACCTAGGAATTTCCCCATTGAATCTCAGCCAAGGAACTGGAAAAGCTGGTGGCGAAATGGACGGCTGCGGCCGTGTGTCCTGTCGATGGGCAGCTCGGAGCTGCCTACGTCTATGGCTTGGAAGGCTGGGTCCCACCTTGCCGGTCCCTGATTTCCACCGATCCAAAGGCTGATGGATGAGTTACCATGATTTAATAAACCATGGATCATGGCATATATATGGCATATATATATACATAGGTATGGCATAATATATATATATATGTATGTATGTATATATATATGTAAATATATATGTATGTGTATATATATATATATGGCATATATATTGCATATCATGGATGTTGAGACATTAGTTCGCTTTGGCATATGGCACCTTATGGCACCTTCACCGCATGTGTAGGGGACCAACGCTGCGCTGCAACTCACCTCTTGTCCTACTCATCCGTAACTGCTCTTCAAGACGTGGTCGGCCACTGAGCGTTGCAGGGCATGGATGGGTCAATGGCAGGACTCAAAACGTGTCGGGAAGCGCATCAGCCAGCTCTCGCATATGTTGTTCTCTCGACAGTTGTTTTTGTTGACCGTAGTTTTTCCGGCTCAAGAGTTGCTACACCCTTTGCCGGCGGAGTGCGGAGCAGCATGTGTAAGTCCGAAACTTACGTGTTGGATGCCAGCTTCAACCCCGAAGAGTTCGTGGAAGACATCAAGAAGGCGAAGGCTGCTGTGGGAGAAGCAACCGAAGAGGATGCTCAACACCTGCAGCACTTGGTGATGATTTCCCAAGTCTTGCTCTATGAGGGCCACATTCTGCTACTTGCAGGTGCTGCCATGCCATGGGGCATCAATATCCTTTTGTTGTGCGCTGCGGCCTTCATGATCGCCTATGCCAGGTGCATGAAGTGGGCCATCATTGGACACCACGTGTCCCATGGAGGTTTCGACAGCTTGCAGAAGAATCATCCTAACGCCCTTCCCAAGCACTACAAGCGTGGGGTCTTTGCCATTGGCTTCCGAAGGTTCTTGGACTGGTGGCTATGACTTTGCTTCAGGTCATGGTGAATTTTCATGAATTGCATGTGGGGACTGTTCTTGGGATGTATACGTACCTTTATATGTAGTTATCATGAATTATCTGTGTATGTCTCTTTCCCTCTCTAATGTGTTATTACATGTTATTACTATTATTGTTATAACTACTGCTATTGTTATAATTACATATATTTACTATATCACTATTACTAATACTCTTATTTGCTATTCTTTCCCCCCACTCTCCGTTGCAATGGCCGCAGCAAGGTTGGACTGGATGTTGCCACAGGCCTGGGATGTGGAACACAACAAGGCCCACCACTACTACCTCTCGGAGGAGAAGGACCCGGACCTCGTGGAGCACAACTTCGAGTTGCTACGCGCCTTCCCGTTGCCCAGGGCCATGAAGTATGCTTCCATGGTGTGCCTTGGAGTTCTTTGGTGATGTTTCTATTCCCACTAAGGTAAAAAAAGTAGTGAACGCAAGGTAAAACCACCAGAACTGGGGAATCTACTAGGATTTTTGTTACAAATGTGTTTGGGATGTGGGGGATGTCTTTGGGATCCCGCGAGTTTGGAAGGATGTGGGTCTTCACGTGGAAGTTCACCTACTATTCGCCCAACACCTACAAGGAATTGGCCCTCTCCAAAAAGGACGACTTGCTCGACCACAAAAAGCTTGGCTCATCTTGGCTCACATGTATCATGGATGTCTTTTTGGTGGCAGAGTTATTCCATGTTATTCCGACCATTTGTCTCAAAAAATAGCTCCAAACTAGTTCTTTGAATTGTTGGTAAATAAAAGAACCAAGATGCGAAGTTTGTCAGGACAGCTGGCTGGCCAAAAACTGGCCCAGCTGGGGCAAGAAAACGGACCCCGTGGTGGTCTTCGATATCTTCCGCATGCCGGCCATGGCAGTTTGGAATGGAAAGCCCTTGGATGCCTTCTACTGGTTCGCCTTTTTTGCTGAGTGGCTCAGCTGCTTTGGTTTTTCTGTTGGGGTGGAAACTTAAGTTGCTCTCCCGCAAGATCCCATATATTTTCATATATTTGGACCTCTTAAATTGGGCAAAATAGCCAAGGTGGAGCCTGGCAATCTTGCCCATGCTGGTCTCCGTGGCGCTCCCTGCAGTTTGGCCACTTTTGCTTGGCCGTGCAGGCTTGTGGTTTGGTGCCACCACTATGCAGCAGGCTGCTACGCGGGCCCTGGTGACATCTGTGGTGGCTGACATGTTGTCGAATGCCCATGCTTTCGTCATCATTGCCTGCAACCATTCAGGAGGCGACCTCTACAGGTATTCCACATCTTGCAAGGCTTACTCCGCAGAATTTCTCCTTCGTTGCGCCTATTCCTCCGCCAACTTTGAATGTGGGAATGATCTCATTGACATCACCTATGGATGGCTCAACTACCAGATTGAGCACCACATGTATCCGGACATGACTCCTTTGCAATACCGGAAGTTTCAGCCACTGGTCAGGAGCATTTGCAAGAAACATGGGGTGATGTATGTGCAGGAGAATGCCTTGAAACGTACTTGGATGATGTTTCAAGTGGCAGTGGGTGATGCGGCCATGAAGCGGTGCACCGCATTGGTGCCTCCGCAAGCCTACGGAAAGAACATCTCAGAGGTTGAAGGTTCCAAAGTAGCCGGGGGATAAAACCAGATCCAGAATTGGACCATCTTGGACTCATCAGTCTAGTATAGTTTCTCCTGAAAGGACCTTCCAAATCTTTTAAATCTCAGATTTTTCTGCGCAGACATTTGTCGCGCACGCGACTTCGTCAGTCACGACCAAAGTCCCAAGTCCCAAGTCGTAGCCCGCACTCTCATTGGATTGCTGTCGTGTGTTGCACTTTGGGGCAGAAAAATGCGCAGTGCCGTTGCTGCACCATTGATGCACCCGAATCCGGAACAAAGATGAGCATACAACATCAATTGTGTGCAAGACTCCGGAAACATTCCAATTCCTTTGAAGATATGATTTGAATTGATTTGATACAGACAAATTGAATCGTCACATAGTCCAACATGTGTTCAGCTCCCAAAGTGCGAGGCTGATTCATTGAAGCAACATTGCAATGAAGTTGGCACATCCACGGACAAGGCCTTCATTTGGTGTCTGAGCTGCGCTTTCGGTGGATTGGAGCTCCACAGTAAAGCCGCTAGGGACCCAACCACAATCAACCCAGTATCAATAAGCATTCGGGGATCAGTCGGGCACATGTGTTTATATAATGATATAGAATGTATATAATGACTGACTCGTCATAGTACTATATATATACCCTCTGGTAAACTAACATAGCTATTGAAAATGACCGTTTTTAATGGGAAAACTCACTATAAATGGCCATTTTCAATAGCTATGTTAGTTTACCAGAGGGTATATATATTACATGTATATACAGGTATATATAGTGTGGATTAATAATGATTAATATGGCTTGTTGTTTTTATTATTTTTATTTGTAATATCTATATATATATATAATATGTGTGTATTGTGTGTGCGTGTGTGATCTCGTGATAGTCACATGGTTCAAACATGTTGAGAGCCATGACCGCCATGGCCCAACCCCCCGAGGTTGAAGACCCTCTGCTGGAACCTGCACCGCAACGAGATCACAGATCCCATGGAGATGAAAAGCCTGACGGTGGGCGCTCAGGGGGCGAGTTGGCCCACGAGTTTTTCGTGGGCCAAAATGAGATAGTTGGCTCATGTTCGGGATATGTCTAGAGTTATGTCTAGAGTTATGACATAGTTATGACCATCCCATTTTTAGTGGCTCATGTGTAGATTTTCTGTTTTGCACATGCCTCTTTTTATCCATCATATTTTTGGGGCTGTGTTATCAACAGTAGAGTCTGAGTAGAGATGATCAACGGTAATATCAACGGGCGCCCGTCCCAGCGCAGCTGGGTTGCCCGTCCCAGATCGTCCCAGGATGAACGGATTCGGAGCATTGGTCATGTCTTGGTCTTGCTGACCCCATGGGATGAGCCCGACTATTTCCAGCGGAAATGGTGCACCATGGAGCCCCCTGCCCTGGCGGGCGGCCAATCCTCGGGGAAATGGCAACGGAACAAAAAAAAAAAGGACTTAACATGACTTCATCAACTGTAGATCTACTGAAAATCCAGAAATCTGTGGTTTGCGTAAAGTTGATGGGTGATATCATATATTTCTTGCGTCAAACAGATGATTATTTCGAATGGTCTGTGACATGTCAGATGTGCAAAGACCCCAAGACATCACAAGGCTCAACCACCATCTAGTGGTTGCTTATTGCTTCATATCCCCAGTTTTTGTTGGTGATGTGTGATCAATTGGTAATTCAATATGTTGTTCCCGGGAAAATTCACAAGACGTGCTTATATTTCATTAGTTAAAACATGGTTTTTCCCTTAGGTTTTCCCTTGAACCAATCCATTGACATGATCATCAGCATTTGTGGATGTACGGGGTGCAGTGCGTACCACCACAGCCAAGGATGGAGCTGGCTCTGTCACTGTCGCAGCTGTCAGCTTTCGAAAGCCCGAAGCAAGTCACGACGACGGTGACGGTGCTCACAACTTTGCAGGAGGCGAGGGAGAACGAATGGGACATCGGAGAGCTGATAGCTATAATAAACCAATATAAACCATCCCCAATTGGAGTTCATTAATAACTTTATATTATACTTTACCCCTATTTGGGATAATTTAAACATATCTAAACTAATTTAAACTGACCCACCAAATGGTAGCTGGGGTGGTTTATCATTGGCAAAATACCACATCAATCCACACAGAAGCTCGTAAAGATCGATGGAACATGATGATGGTCCATTGGAATTGGGGATCTTCCCCGATTTTTTCAGATAAACCCAAATAGGCCTATGATTGGTTATATGTTTCATTAGTTATATTCCAATTAAGTACCGTTAAATCCCTGTTGTTGATGAAAAACTTGGCATTGAGTCCAATTAAATCCAATTAAATCCCATCAACCCGACCATTTTTCGGATGAAAATCCCCTAAATCTCATTGTGGCACATTTGGTACCCTATTGTTTCAAAGAGGGCTGCTTCAGAAAATGCCAGCCCATGGCCTATGATGGAAACCAGGAAAAACTAGATAAAACATGATAAAACTAAACAGAACTATTCCCGGGCAAGAACGCTTCGTGGACTTTTTTGACAACCAGGCTTGCCCCTTCCCAATTCCTGGCCTGGCTACAGGGGAGCCGGCAAAAGCTAGAAAATGCTAAAAGAAACCGTAGCAAAGGCTAGAACAAGCTTAATTGTCCTGGTTTGGATGCTCCTGAATGTGCCATCCTTGAGAAATTTGAGAAGGAAACAACATGTCACCTCTCACCCCCTCTTTAAGCCAGCCTGTTTGAAGAAGCTCCATTGGGCCTTGGAAGAAATTTCCTACCCCTAAGTATCATCAGATCCGTCGCCATGTTTGCCTTAAATCCCATTTAACAAATGAGCATTAAATTCCATTCAATTCCATTTCCATGAAATCACCATCAAACCCAAGCATCTTCCACCGTGTTTCGCCAGTTGGATCGCCTGGGTGAAGCCATTTGCACCTCGAGTTCCGTGGTGCCTCAGGTGTGGCAGCGCTGTGCTGCCTTGAAACTTGGCTGGAAATGGCTGCAACGTTGAGATCGTTACATATTGGGAATTAACCGAATTCTATTCAGATATGGGGATGGGGATATTTCAGCGCCATTAATTTCTCATTTCCCAGCAGCTCATAATTGAGAGCTCAACACATTACATCTAAGACTTGCATTGAAAATCCCCACAATTATTCCATAAGATTCGTAATACTGTAACAAACAATGTTGGAAAGCCAATTTCAGAAACCAGCCCAATTGACCAGAAATAGGTGGTGGAAATCATCGTTATGCTGTTGAAGTAGTGGATGACATCACTTTCTGGGGGTGACCCCCTAATTAATCAACCAGCTCGTGCCTTTTTCTAAAAAATAAATCCGAAGTTGTTTTGTTTTGACTTTTAATAGTGGTTGGTGGTTTGGAACATTTTTTATTTTTCCATGTATTGGGAATGTCATCATCCCAACTGACTGTAATATTTTTCAGAGGGATAGGTATACCACCAACCAGAATAGGGCTGGATCCTCTATCGAATTGGATCCATGGAACCAGAAATGCGGCCATCGTGCCTGGCCCAATTTTGTTAAACCCGGGTTTCTGCATCAAGCAGAAATCATGTAAGAAAAAATTGACAGCAGGCTATATATATATAATATATATAATATCAATTAATATAGTACAATTTATCATAATATAATACAATATTATAATATATTCTATGTATACATATGTATTATTATTGTTATTCTTACTATTGTTAAAACAAAAACAGATGTCGTTCCAATTAAGCACAAATAAACAACCTCATATAAAATCAGATATATAACCAAACAGAGATACTTATTTATACACATGCACACTACAGTGCATAATCTCTATGGATATTCATGCACATGGATATGCATATATTCACATACATCACACGACCAAAATAGTAGACAGATCAGTAGAAAATACTCGAATAACCCCTATGCCGTGTATGCATGTTCATACCACATAGTGGTCCCAAAACGGAGCCCACTATATTGTTGTTGCCTTTGACTGTAAAGTGTACATAATGTCAGGGTTTTTACAACGGGAATAGACTATTCAAATAGTTATCGACAATGATAACTCATTTCCTTAATCCTGTAATCCGGGGTTTTGGTCATCAAACCATTTACTTGGCCAACAACGTTTGGCTCAAGGTGCCCGCTAAAACAGGTGTTTGTGCTTAGCTTCACTGGCCATTGTTACATCTGTTGACTACTGCATCTTGAATACACGTCAATATTACTTCTGGTACAATCCCCGCATTCACTGGATTTACTGGAATTTTGTGGTTATCAGCCGTAGCCCGGCTTATTTCTGCAGTTGTGAGATCAATTGGGAGCTATTGAAAGACTGAACATATCGGCAAGAAATCTAAGACTTCAATTGCATAGATCACTGAATTGTTCTTTCATTGGCACCTTCAATCTTTCACTCGCGCTTGCGCGACAATTTTCCCATCCTTCGCCGCCATTGGCGCGACTGCATGTCTGATCATAGACGTGACCGTTCCCGATCAAGAGTTCGAACTCGTGGCAGACGAGGGGGCAACCCGTGGAGGTCCAGCCAATTGAGCAGGTACAATCGCGGTGTGTCTTCAGCAATCGATTTTGCTACAGCAGAGGAACTTGGTCGGGCACCTCCGGAGCCACCTCAGCCACCACCACCGGCACCGGGTGCTAGGGGTGAGTGGAGGTGGGTTTGGGTCCCAGAGCAGGCTGACGTGAGGGACAGGCCTGCTGGTGATTCTGAGCCAACTTCGGCGTCTCGTCCTCGGTTGACATCTTCTTCAGTGGCACCAGTGCCAAGGCGTTCTGATCGATCTTCGGCGGAAACTCCGACAGGGGTGGAAGGCAGGAGCTCACGGGACTCGGCTGGTGTTGTGGAGGGACGTTCATCCAATCGGGCAGCAACATCACCTCGCGCAGAGCGCGAAAGGGAAGTTCCATCTCATCCAGCAACATCACCTCGCGCAGCGCGCGAAAGCGGCGATCCATCTCGATTGGTGACAACATCAACTCGCGCAGTGCGCGAAGGTGGAGATCGACCTCGACCGGCGGAAGCATCAGCTCGCGCTGTGCGCGAAGATCGAACTCGGCCGGCGGAGACATCAGCTCGCGCTGAGCGCGAAAGAGAGGTGAGGACATCTGGAACAGCTCGCGCAGAGCGCGATACAGCCTCAGCATCGACTCCAGTGACCACAAGGAGGACCATTCGAGTTCCGGCCAGGACATCATCGACGGCAGGGACCAGTGAAGTTTCTCGCACCGGGTCAAGGGGATCGTTGAGGCCTGCGGAGCCTAAGGCTGCTCCAAAGGCAACAGTGGTGGCCAAGGCAAAGGCCGAACCTCGTTCATCTCCAGATTCATCGGTGGCATCTACTCGCCCAGGAACTTCGGTTGAGCGACCGCTCATAGTTCTTGATTGGCATCGGACGCTGTCCTTTGAGTCTCAGAGTGGTGGATCCTACGTGCCCGAGAGGGTGAAGCAGACGCTTCGACGAGCTCAGTCATTGGGCTACGATCTTGGCATTTGCTCCTTCGCATCGGCGCCAGCCACTCAGTCCAGGGTGCTTCGTGAGGCACGTGATCTTGAGACTGAGTTGACACGAGCTTTCAGGTTCATCCACGTGGTCAACCGGAAGTTCACTTCGGATCCTGCCCGTGACAGGCCATCGCTCACGGGCTGTGCCACATCTAAGGCAGAAGAAGTCTGCCGTGTGGGGGCGGCCATTTTTGTGGACGACCAGCGCTCCCTCCTGCAGGAGGTGGAGCAACTTCAGGCTCGTCGAGCCGCTGGCAACAGGTGTCGGGTGTTGATCTCGCACGCCAATCGGCCATCGGCAGCTCTTGAGGAGCTCGACGATCTACTGGAGGAGGAGTCGGCTGCAGATTTCGGGTTGCCCAGCTTCTTGCGAAGCCTCTGGTGAAGGAGTGCAGGACATCTTGAGGAGTTGTTCATTGACTCATTTCTCAGCGGCGCAAGCGCAAGAGCAAGAGCAAGAGCAAGAACGAGGTTTCACTGCAATTGTTGCCAAGGAGTTTCACCGCAATTTTTGCTTGTTTCAAGTTTCACTGCAACATAGTTTCACCGCAACAGGTTGTTTCACTGCAAGCTTGGTGTTCGGCATTTTGCCCTCCTTCTCGCGCTTGCGCGATTTGTTGGAGAAGTTTGCACTGCCAGTTTTGCGCGCTGCCATCTGACGCAATTTTGCATAGCTGATTGGCATTGACAAGTTCCCTGAATTTGCGTTCCCGTGCCAAAACATGAAGAGGGAGGTGCCGGCGACCCCATTCAAAGTGGACGGACCCAACAGTACATGGACTTCATCGACTGACTCCCCAGAGAAACTTGCAGAACAGCAATCTCAGCAAGCTGCAATGATGCACATTAGTGACCAACCTGCCAACCCGACTCAGGAGGCGATATCTTTGGCGAACAGGCTGAAGAGAGGACAGGGGTCAGCTGCGGCATCTGGTGGTTCAGCTCAATGGGGTGGAAGTTCAGCTTCGGGTCAACACGGTGTTCCCCCTAGTCTTCATCAGCACAATACCATCCAACAACATATGTATCAACAACAGGTCAACCAGATAGACCCTACACAGTTGGAACAATTGTTGGAATCACTGGTAAACGCAAAGGCAGAGGCAAACTATCAGCAACTCCGACAGCAAGCGCAACAAGAAGTTGAAAGCATCAGGCAACAGGCAGGAAACAATCACCAAATGTTGCAAGATCAGGTGTACCAAAAGTTGCAACAACTCAACCAAGAGAAACAGATGCTTGAGATGAGAGAGAGACAAACTCATCAACAGGCACAACAACGTTTTGAACAACTTCAACAAGAAGCCGTCAACCAGATTAAGAAGTTGTCCGAAGACAACATGAGGCTACAGGCAGAACTTGAGGATAGCCGCAAGTCGGCTGAGGGCCAAGTGAACTTCGTGAAGTTGCAGGCCGAATCTGAAAGACAGAGGGCTGTGGCGGAGCTCAAGGAACTTAGCTCCAAATTGGAGGTGATCATGACCCATCCTGAACGGGTAGGATCGACATCTGGGACGATGATGTCACCTATTGGGAATCCTTTTGAACATCTACCCCAAGCTTACCAATCAGCCCAGCCAACTGAAATCATGTCAGCAGGTGCTAGTATTGCTAGTGCCAATCCTCTGGAAGTGATGTACTGTACATGCTGTGGATCACAGAATGTCATTGGACGACCGTCATGTTGGAGATGTTCAACATTACTGAGCACATTGACAGCCAAGAATGGCGCGGATTTGAATAGAATTCAGGATCATGGTTTTGACCCAGCACCATGTCCGCCTCCAAGTTTGGCACCATCCAGCTTCCGAGCATTGCAAGGTGTGGCAGCTAGCAGCGCGTCTATCGCAGCTGCGGCCGCGGCACCTATGGCGATCTCAGCGAGGTTTCCTGGAGGATGCGCGTCAAATGTCGCGCAGAGTGGGAACTTAGCTTCAGGGGGGCTGATGGCTCAGACTGGTTGTGGTCTTGGGGTTGGATCAAATGGTGGTACAACAAATCAATGGGGTGGTTTTGACCCGAATGGCCCCAGAATCCAAGCCGGGTACATTGTACCAGGTAGAGGACAACAAGGTGAGAAACCGAAACCTGCTGGACTTCAGGGCTCACAACATGGTGGGATTCCATCCTTTTCCATTCACACACCCAAGAACAGTTCACCAACAAATGGTTCGTCATCATCATCGAAGGACTCAAATGAGGATGGTTTTAATCAGGCTCCCAAAGATGGTTGGTTGTTGCCAGATGAAACTGATGAAAGTGTTTACAAGCACAAGCACCTCAAGTCCATTCAGATTACCAAGCTTCCCAACGACGCGACTTCGTGTCGCGAGTGGCGTGCGGCATTCTTGGCCGCAGTTAGCAGGGTTGACATGACGAACCGGGATGTGCTAGTGAAGTTTGCCACATGGTGCATGGAAGGTGGTCGAGGTAGACGGTTCCGAGATTATCTTCAGAGTTCGAATGACTTTTTGTTATTCAATAAACATGTGGCGGCCGAGCTGATTAAACCAGAGGTGTTGGCCACAAACTCAGAGCTAGCGCACGAACTCACGTCGTGGGTGGAATCATGTTCAGCGAAACAGCAGGGACCCAAAGGCATGGCTCTCATGCACATCATTATTGCCTTTTACGAAACAGGTCCGGACCAATCCATCGCTTTGAACCAAATGCATCTCTTACAGCTCCAATTGCAGGGAAAGACTGCGAAGGATCTTGCAGAGTTTGTGAAACGTGGCAATTACATCTTGCATGGCTTGCGCCCAGGAGACCGCCCTGCAGAGGCGACACTCTACAGCTGGCTTTGGCATCAGGTGAAAGCCGTTCCGATGCTGAGGAGGTGCACTGACAAAATCAGAGAGTCCTCAAATGGATCCCGTAGGAGAACCTTTGGATGGTTATGGGGAAAGATTGCCGAAGAACTCCGTGAGAGGAGACATGACCTTAACTATGAAAACATGGGTCAGGGGTTGAAGTCATCCCCACCAGCTCAACTGGCTTTGCCGGCATCGTCCTCAACAGGTGAGACGAAGGTTGCTAAGGTCACCAAGACAAAGACCACTGCCAAGAAGGACACAAAGTCAGCTGCTGCTGCTCCTACTGAGGATTCACGAAGGAATGTTTGTGCACTCCATGCTGCTGGGCACTGCAGATTTGGAACAAGATGTAGAAACACACACATCGGTGAGGCCGGGTCTGATGAGGCCAGACGGGCATACTCAGAAGCCCAGAAAGGAAAGGCAAAGGGTCAAGAGAAGGGGTCAAAGGGAGATGGCAAAGGTAAGAAGGGCAAGAAGGAAGACTCTAAGGCTTCGAAAGGTGGCACTGGAACTCCGGCAGCTGTTTCCACCGTTACGATCACTGAGGTCGAAGGGAAACAAGCCCAAAAGACATGGCAATCCTTTTGCAAGTTCTGTGACAAAGCCCTTCCTTCTTTGAATACCTTCTTGAAGCTATCGGTTCCCATTTTGGCTACTTTGATCTCATCAATTACCAATTCTTACGAAATGATTGGGGAGAAAGCAGCGGCTTCTATGGTTGATCCTGCAGTGCAAAATTTCAAGAAGTACTCCTTAGAGTTTCTTGGAGACACAGGTGCAGCCCACGACATTGGCAGTTTGCGGGCATTGCAAGACCAAGGATTGTCTAAGGACATGGTTGTGCCTTGGATGAAAGCACTGAAGAGCCCTGTGCGGTTCGCCACTGGAGGAGGGCCGCAACTCTCCACTGAGGAACTTCGTGTGTACACCAAGGAACTGGGTGACTTTCACATCCATCTCCTTGAGAGCTGCCCCATGGCCTTATCAATAGGGCGTCAAGTCAGCCGTGGACGCACTTTCATATGGCAGCACGGTCAAAAGCCGTACATTGCCTTAGATCACCGTCGTTGTCGTGTGTGGTGTCCTTCTGAAAACAGGTGGTACGCCAACAGGGTCCAAAACAACGTCCCGATCTTTTCTGTTGATTGTCCGTTGAAACCTGGAAGAGTCATCAGGGATAGTGCTGCTTGCGTTCAGTTAGATCAGCCAGCGACATGCGCAAACATGACCACTGAAGATTCCAATTCTCAATTTTGTGGATCGCGTTTGGAAAGACAATATGCATCCGTATGTCATGACACTGCTGTGGAACATACTGAACCAATGAAAGACTGCACTGAAGATCCATTGTGTCTCGCGCCAATGCGCGATCATGAGCATGATGAAGACGTCCCACAAGTTGACACAGTAGAGTTGCCAGCTCATCCAATGGTGTCGGATACTGAGCAACGTCGGAGAAAACACAGGAAGGAGAATCGACGGAGGAAGTGGGAGAAGTTGAAGAGGCAGAAGCCAGAGGCTCCAGTCCGCAAACCCATCATCAGGGGGGTTGAAGCCGTAGAAACTATGATGAATGGACTCCAACAATTTTACAACGATAGATCTAGACAACATGATGAGCAAACATCCGAACTTTACCAATCCATCTCGCATAGCATTGCCAAGGAGTTCAATGACTTCAGCGAGAGCACTGCTGAGATGGCGGTTCCAGAACCACATCACCCAGGACTTCCAGGACACGGGACTTTGATCGAGTTCTGTACTTCTTCAGATTCCATGATGGGAAGAGTTGGAAAAGATCTTGGGATTCATGTCATAAGATGTTCTGAGAATCATTTGAATGTCGAAAGTGATGAAACTATCAAAATCCTTGACGGCATCATCGAAACCAAACCTGGTGCCGACCTTTGGGGTTCATTAGCATGTGGGCCTTGGACTCAGTGGCAGACGCTCAACGTGCATTTGTATGGTGATGACTTCGCCAGCAGATTGTCCGAGAGGCGTAAGGTGTCAAGAAGGTTGGTTAAACGGTTTTGTCGTTTGGCTCGCGCTGTAGCGCGAAAGGGAGGTCGAGTCACATTCGAATGGCCTCGACACTGTGTTGGTTGGGCATTGCAAGAACTCCAGAAACTTATTCGGGATCTCAACATGATGATTGTGGATTTCGATGGGTGCCAAGTTGGATTGACTGACTCAAAGGGTGATCTTCATTTGAAGAGATGGAGGTTGATTACTACATGCAACCGTACTGCTAGGATCTTTTCAACGTTGAGATGCAATCATCCAGCTGATTTCCAACATGCCCCCATTTCAGGATCAAGAACACGCCTCACTGGTTTCTACCCCAAGGAGATGTGTGAGTATGTAATGCATGCGATGTATCCTGACATCATTTCACGACATGCCCCAGCCATGCCAGTCACAGAAGTGATAGGGCAAACAATTGAACACCGGGAGCGTGAGCCTGAAGAGGGACGAGATGGTGGTGTCTTCATTTACGATTCAGTCGACCCCCTTGCAGCAGCCGCAGCTGAGGGCCTGGATGAACCTGCCGATGATGAGGCTGAGGACAGGGAATCCAGGGATGATAGACTGAAGAGGGAGGCAACATCATTAGAACACATCACATTGCACGCCAAGAAGAATCCATTTTGCCCACATTGCCAAAGAGGTCGAATGATCAAACGATATGCTCATAGACATAGACCCGAACCTGAGGACGAAGAGGTTGTGTACAGTATTGCAAAGGAGTTTGGAAGCATCATTGAGGCTGACCACATTTTTCCAGCGGTTGAGTCTAGGGGGCTTGGTGGTGAACAGTCCGCCCTCTTAGTGCGTGACAGATACTCTGGAATGTGTTTGACATACCCTCAACGAACACGCAATGAAGATAGCAACTATGATGCGTTGAAACATTTTGGTGGCAACAAGTTGAACGGTAACCCAGACGTTGTATTCCACTCCGACACAGCCCAGGAATTGACCAATGCTGCATCAAGACTGGGATGGGTGGCTGATCCATCAGCCGCCAATCACTGGCCACACAATGCCTTTGTTGAAAGAGAAATCAGGACCATCAAGGAGATGTGCAGGCCATCGCACCTGCAGGCAGGCTTCCACAGAAGGCTTTGGACCATTTCCATCGAGTACACAGCCACTGCAAGATCCTTCTTCACTCCGGCTCCGATCACGGAGGATGAGAGAGACACGGAAGAGGGAAAGAAGAAACTTGGTAAGACGCGATGGGAAGTGGCCACAGGTAAACCTTTTGATGGCGTCTCTTATCCACTAGGCGCATTGGTTTTCTATCGTTCCAAGGGGGACGGCATGGCAGAGCCCACAACTCGTCCGGGGTTGTTTGCCGGTTGGCACCTATCCCCTGGGCTTCGGTATCGTGGCAATGTGAAGATTTTGGACTATGAGTCTGTCAGAGAGAGAGGACATTTGCACTGGCAGCCACGTGTGATGCATGAGAAGGAGGTCTATTTCCCTCCAACAGAATACATTGAATTTCCTCTTGCATTAGCTGCACAAAATGCCATGTTGCAAATGACGGATGAGGAGAAAGAAGTCAAGAAAGCCATCTATGATAGATCTTTCGTGGAAGGGGTTTTGCCATATGACGTGTGCATTGATTCTTTTCCTGTTGACGCGCCTCCACCTCCTCCAAGACACGCTTACATAACATGGTCAAGGTTGATGAAACATGGCTTCACCAGGGGATGTCCAGGGTGCTCCATGGGACACAACAGACACTCACAAGAATGCAAAACAAGGTTTGACGCCATCTTCTCCAGACGTGGCGAATCAGTGGGACTAACTCCGAGACCA